GAGCTGATGCCAGGGGCTTATGTGGGGAGCAGATGTTTTGAGAATGATGAGGGTAATGAATGTACAAATGTGCTTTACACAATTGATGTATGTATGGATTGTGATAAGAGTTGTATGAGTCCGTAATAAAATGATTTTTTTTTAAAATAGCAGCTACTGTGTTGAAAGCAGCTAGTCTGTTAAAAACAGGTACTGTGTTTAAAGCAGCAGTATTGGAGGAAAATAACACTTCATGAGTTTTAATTACTGGGCAAATGTAAAATCATGTACTGTGAAATCATCAACTACAGCAAAAAACAAAATATCTGGACCATGGGAACTTAATCTGAATGCTGATCAATCTTTTTATATTCAGCTGCGGTTGATGTGAATGCTGCACCCTTGTGATAGTAAGAGATATGTAAAAAAGAACAGAATGGTAAATCATAGGAAACTTTAATGAACTGTATTTTCTGAACTATGCCATGTATCATCTTTTGTATTATCAAAACTATTGTTATATATTATTTTCATTAGCAAACCTTCTCATGACAAATATAGTGAGGATGTTTAAGCAAAGAAAATATAGTGAGGATTTTTTAAAGTATGGTTTTACCTCAATAATTACTGCAGGATTTGAGAAACTGCATGTGTTATTTGTTGTGAAGTTCAATCAGCCGAATCTATGAAGCTGAACAAACTAAAACGCCATTTTGATAGCAAGCATCCGAGCTTTGCCTGCGAGGATACCAACTATTTTGGAAGCAAAGCTGATGGACTCAAGAAAGCCAGACTTGACACTGGTGGCAAGTACCACAAACAAAACGTAGCAGCCGTTGAAGCTTCATATTTGGTGGCACTCAGAATCGCCAGAGATATGAAACCTCACAGCATTTCTGAGAACTTACTGTTGCCAACGACCAAAGACATTGTTCGAGTTATGATCAGAGACGAATTTGTTAAGAAATTTCTTTATCTAACGATATTGTCCGCAGAAGAATAGATGACATGTCTGCTGATATTCTTGATCAGGTAATCCGGGAAATTAAATTTGCTCCACTTCCAATATTTAGCATCCAGCTTGATGAATCTACCGACGCTGCTAACTGTTCACAGTTACTGGTTTAGATGAGGTATATTAATGATGGCGACTTTAAAGATGAGTTTCTTTTTAGCAAACCTCTTGAAACAACAAGTACTGCACATAATGTATTTGACACACTTGGTTCATTTCTGAAAGAACATAAGCTCTCTTGGGAAAAGGTTTGTGGTTTTTGCAGCACAGATGGTGCTCCAGCTATGCTAAGATGTGGCTCTGGACTTGAACGTTTGGTACTGAATGAATCACCAAAAGTCATCGAAACTCACTGTTTGATGCATAGACAAATATTAGCAATGAAGACACTGCCACAAGAGTTACCAGAAGTAATGAAAAGCATCGTAAGTTCTGTCAATTTTGTAAAGAGCACTTTAAACAGTCAACTGTTTTCACAACTATGCATCGAGTTGGATGCACCGAATAATGCTCTGCTATTTCACACTGAAGTGAGATGGTTGTCAAGAGGAAAAGTTTTAAAACATGTTATTGAGCTTTGTGATGAACTCAAAACATTTTTTAATCAGAAAGCAAGATCGCAGTTCAAAGCAATTTTCAGCAATAAAAGTGAACTGCAGAAAATAGCTTACTTGGTTGACATCTTTGCCATCTTGAATGAATTAAATTTATCACTGCAGGGACCAAATGCCTCAATTTGTTTGAAAAGATCCAATCATTCCAAATGAAACTTAACTTTGGCAAAAAAAAAATTGGATGAAAATAAAATTTACACGTTGCCTACTCAATCTGCTTTCTTTGAGGAACATGACATTGAACCAGACAAAAGGATAACAATGATAATTTCTGTGAAAGAAAACTTGCACATGCATACAAAATTTCATCGTACTTTCCAAATCTACCTGACACCCCATTTGCACTTGCCACAATTCCATTCCCAAAGTTGAAGATGTACCTGAAACTGCAAAAGATAAATTCATTGAACTTATTAACAGTGATACAGCAAGAACTTATTTCTCTACAATGCCACTTAAAAAATTCTGGATCAAGTGTTTGCAGCCATATTGAGATAGTTAAGGTTTATTGTGCCAACCAACCTAGCCTATAAACACATGTGGGGTTAGTTGAAGGGTGGATTGCTAAATGGTTTTGTGAGCCCGCCTTTCTAGTTCTTGGGTCTCTTGCTTTCTGATGGTCAGACCAGGGTGCAGCTGCTTTAGCTAGTTCTCTGCTTTAGCTGGCAGGGCACACTTCCTGCAAGGCATCCTGGAGGAGAAGCCACATGAACCTATCCTGATGCAGCCCTGAGTGCTGAAGCAGCTGTGTGGAGACCCCTGGCAGCGCTGAGATGCTTACACGCTCACTGATTCGGCTTTCCTCCTGCAGTTGGCGTCATTGTGTGTGTTTTGTAAGATTGAAGAGGACTTTGTAGATTGATGTCAGACATACGGGCTAATGTTGGATTTATGGGCTTGGACAGCACTGGGTTGGGATGCTTTCTTAATGTACACTTACCCTTTATGTAAAACTGTCTCTTACACATATGAATTTCTTTCTCTAATGTGCCCAGACTAACACACATATCCTGTTCTGTCTGAGACTGTGTTGCACCTTCTTCTTCCATTTCCAACAACATATCTGTGTTAAACAGGGTTTTCCAGTTTGTTGGTTATCAAGTCTAGATACAGAAGTAGACTTGTTGTGGAAGATGATCTCCGTTGTGCTCTTGCAAAGACTGCCATGAGAATTTCTGATCTGGTGAGAAAGACGCTATCTCAACCTTCACACTGATGTTGGCTTTTTACGCATACTGTCACAAAATGTAGTTTACTGTTGTTATATTAAGACTGCTAACCATGCTACACCATGCTTCAAGACAAAATTTCATTTATTTGTAATTAGAAATAAATATTTCACAATATATAATTCTGTATTGTTTTTTGATTAATCACTATGCTTTAATTATGTTCAATTTGTAACAATGAAAATACATCCTGCATATCAGATATTTACTTTACGATTCATAAGAGTAGCATAATTATAGTGATGAAGTAGCAACGAAAATAATTTTATGTTTGGGGGTCAACACAACATGAGGAACTGTATTAAAGGGTCACAGCATTTGGAAGGTTGAGAACCACTTCTCTAGATCCTGAAAACACCCCCCCCCACTACCATGACCCAGTTCTAACTTACAAATCCGGCTAGACCAGAGAACATACATTGGTACAGATAAGAGCTCTCAACACATGGAATTCAGGATAGATAAACACCTCAGGAAGAGTAATGGGAGTAGCAAGATCATGAGGGTAGGGCGATGGCCAAGAAGGGGGAAGGGGGAGAAAGGAAGAACCCAACCCAAAGTTGACTATATAGCTGCCCCCCCCCCAAAGGGGACGAATAACAGAAATGTGGGTAAAGGGAGACAATGGACAGTGTAAGATACGACGCAAAATAACAATAATCATACAGTTGATCATGGAGACACGAGGGTAGGAAGGTGGAGGGGAGGGGAAAAAAGAGGAGCTTATACCAAGGGCTCAAGTAGAAAATGTTTTGGAAATGATGATGGCAACATGTACAAATATGTTTGATACAATTGATGTATGGAATCTTGTAAGAGTTGTAAGAACCCCCAATAGAATGATTGTTTTAAAAAGACCTTTTATCATTTATGAATGCTGCAGATAATCTTTCCACCTGTGATTTTCCTTTTCTATGCAATGATTTTATTCAAGCAATCTTTATAAATATTTTCCTGTTCTGTGTCTTGTTTTAGAATTTGTTCCCTATCCCAAACTTGCCAAAATGCATTTTTCTGTTTTATTTTCTAGACACTTTATTATGTTATTCTTTGTTAGCTTTATAGCTGAAATTATGATACTCAGGGTTTAAATTTAATTTTTCCCATGTAGATCTCTTTATAGCCCACACACATTTCTTGAAAAGATAATCCTTTCTCTACTGTTCTCTAGTGCCCGTGTTGTCATAAAGTATGTGTCCGCACATGTGTGAAATTTGTGTTTTGGTTCACTGGATTATTTGTCCTCATGGAAGTACCATCTTCTCTTATTGGTTTTCATTTTGCCCAGTGGTGAGTTCTTTAGTATTAAAAATGTACAATTACAGGAACAAGTGATATTTGAAGATGTGGCTGTGGATTTCACCCAGGAGGAATGGCAGTACCTGGACCCTCCACAGAAGATCCTGTACAGAGATGTGATGCTGGAGACATACAGCAACCTAGTGTCTGTGGGTAAGAATGGCTTCCTTGATTAATTTTGCATTTGTGATTATTGTATCTAATGCAGGGCCTTCCCTTTAAGTGTTTAGCATGGGTGAAATATCCTTTTCCACTGTTGTTCCCTGGACAAAGTATTTGTGAACTCAAACTCAGGTTGAATAGTTTGACTAGGGATAGGTCCCTTGTGCTGCCCCAAACTGCAATTTCCTCTTTCTCTGAGGATCTAAAGACCAAGCAGGTATCTTTATCATTTCTCCTTAACAGAGCATCAGGTTACCAAACCAGACCTCATCCTCAAATTAGAGTTAGAAGAACCGTCCCCAGCAGAAGAAAAAATCTCAATTTGGAGTTTTCCAGGTAAGTAGGATTGACCCAGGCAATGGAGTACATGAGGTCTCAGCCTGATAATCATGGGTGAAGACCTCTGACAGGTCTTCCTTATTTCTTGAGAAAGATTGTGGCACTTTGTTGCTGTTTGAGTTCAACGATGTGAGCACCTTAAGTTTAAGACTAACACACCTTCCCCTTGTGATATTCTCCTTAAGTTGGTGCTCATTTACAAGTGTCTGCACATTACTTTTATCCCATAGAAGATGTCTTTTTAATGCCTCCTGCCCATCATTCTCATCATTCTCATTTCTAACTGGCATATTTGAAACCAGGCCCACATTAGTCACAGCTTAGACTCTGGTGTTTTAATTACAGATTGGATTATCAGATACCATTCTTGTTCAGCTTAAATATTCCTGTAAGATTTTTTCCTCCTAAAACATCTTGTTTATTTCTTCTTTAGATTTTAAAAAAATCATTTGTATACCATAAGCTTTGTCCTTTTAAAGTGTATAACTCAATTCAGTGGGGTTTTTAAAAGCATATTCAGAATTGTGCAATCATCAGCACTATGTAATTTAAAATAATTTGATTACTTTAAACAGAAACCCCTACTCCTTAGTTATTCCTTATACCTCTGTCTCCCATCCCCTGGAAACTTTAATCCACTTTCTGCTCCATATCTGGACATTTCAAATAAGTGGAATCATACAGTGCACAATTTTCTTCTATAGACTGTCTTATTTCACTTGGTATAGTGCTTGTAATATTTGTCCATGTTATACCATGTATCACTACTTTATTCCTTTTTATGACAGAATAATATTCATTTTGTTTATCCATATCTGTTGATGGAAACTTGGGCTGATTCCACATTGTGGCTATTATTAATAATGCTTCATATACAGGGCTTTGTATGAATATATGTGTTCAGTTCTCTAGCAAAAGAATTGTTTAGTTAGTCTTATAGTAATTTTGTTCAACCTTTTTAGGAACTGCCAAACTGTTTTTCACAGGACCACATAAGAAATTTCTGAGTGTGTTAGTTCGAGTAGACTAGAGAAACAAATCCATAGAAACTCATATGTTTATAAGAGAGAGCTTTATAATGGGTAATATACATTAAAAAAGTATCTCAACCAAGTTCGGTCCAAGCCCATAAGTCCGATATTATCCCATATGTCTGATACCAATCTATAAAGTCCTCTTCAGACTCACTCCGAATGCAGGACAATCACAGGCCAGTAGATAGAAATCTTTGGATCTAGTGGCTTTGTAAGCATCTCAGCGCTGGCAGGGGTCTCTGTGTGGCTTCTCTGTCTTCAGAGGTCTAGTTGCATCAGGGGAGGTCCATTTGACTTCCCCAGCTCAGGGCACTAGAGTGATTCCATTGTCAGCTGCAATGTCTCCCAGGGAGTGACTAGAGAGAATGGGTCTCCCCCGCCTCCAAGGAGGAAAATTCAGAGTTTTCTCAGACTCCTCAGGGGAAGGCCATGCCCACAGATGCCTCATTGGCTGTGAGCCAATTGACAAACTACACTCCACCCCTTCATCCTTATCCTCTCAAGTCCCAAATTGACCCCAGATTATGTAATTACCACAGTGAGGGTTCTAATTTCTCTACATCCTTGTCAATACTTGTTGTTGTGCTTTATCCTTTATTTTCATTTTTCCATGAGTTCTTTGAAGCTCCCTCATATTCTGGATAAAAGTCCCCTGTCAGACGTGTGATTTGGAAATATTTTCTCTTGCTTTATGGGTTATTGTATTACTCTCTTGTTGGTGGCCTTTAAAGCAAAGGTTTTGAGATGATTAAATTTATCCTTTTTTAAGAAACTATTGCCCAACTCAAAGTTATGATTTACTCCTATGTTTTCTTCTAAGAGTGTTACAGTTTAAGTTCATATATCTAGGTCTATGATCTGCTTTTAGTTATTTTTTTTGTATAATATGTGAGGTAAGGATCCAAATTTTATTCTTTTGCATGTGGGTGTCGAGTTTTACCTGGCCCATTTGTTTAAAAAGCTATTTATTTCATCCTTCATTGAATTGTGTTGATAACTGTTTTGAAAATTAGTTTTCCATATATGTGAGAGGTTATTTGTTGACTCTCAATTCTATTCCATTGATCTATATGCCTATCTTTATGCCAGTACCACACTTTCTTGAACACCATATTAAGTTTTGACATTGGAAAGGATGACTCCAAATTTGTTCTTTTTCAAAATTGTTTTGGCTATTCGGGATCCCTTGCATTTCCATCTGAATTGTAGAATCAGTTGGCCAATTTTTTTCATAGATGTCACCTGGAATTTTGATAGAAATTATATTGAACCTTTAGATCAATTTAGAGAGTATTGTCATTGTAACTATAGTAAATCTTCTGAACCATGAACATGAGATGTCTTTCAACTTATTAAGATCATTTTGAATTTCTTTCAACAGTGGTTTATGGTTTTTGGTGTACAAGATTTCCACTTCTATTAAGTTTGTTCCTAAGAATTTTACTCTCTTGATGTTATGTAAGAATAATTATTTTATTTCTATTCATTACTAATATATAGCCAGATACACAGCTAAATCCAGATGGGGCAGATAATTTTATTTATTTATTTAAAACAATAATTTTATTGGAGGCTCATACAATTCTTACCACAATCCATACATACGTCAATTTTATAAAGCACATTTGTACATTCATTACCCTCATCATTCTCAAAACATTTGCTCTCCACATAAGCCCCTGGCATCAGCTCCTCATTTTTACCCCATTCCTCCCTATTCTCCCTTCCCTCATGAACCCTTGATATTTTATAAATTATTTTGTCATATCTTTTTAAAAAATTTACTGGTATATATATATATATAATTTTATTTTAAT